CTCGGGGGCTGCGCTAACTGGACCCTGGTCGTTCTGGGCGGGGGTGCTGGACGTGCTCGGGGGCTCTCTGTAAAAACAGCCTGGCTTGGCTCTAGCGTGTGGGTGCATTTTCTCTTTGCTTTTCTCTTTTCCCAGAGCTTAACGAAAGATCTCGGAGGCAACGCAAAATGCTCCGACTTCACGGAGGAGATCTGTCGTCGAGTACGAGATTTAGATTGAGGCTCCTGTGAGTGGTGCCTGTGGGCGTCACTCCCACCGGCCGCCACGGGCACCTCCCATCGCGCACACGTTTGGTTCGCTTCTTTCCCGACAGTACACTTTTAGACGTGGCCTTTTCTGAACAAAATCTGTGCAGAGGCTGCGGGGGACGTCCCTAGGCCTGCTTTCAGAGGACTTTCCCCAAGTGCTTGTTTTATTTATTCTGTGTCTATCCCGTATATGTTTTTTGTAAAATCTAAGTGGACTGTATCGTTTGCCATGTTAATCATTTTACACTTTGGTTAAAACGGTTTTTTCCTCAGCTGTAAATACGATACAGAATTAATAAGAGAAAACATAACTTTTTAAAGAAAACCCTGTTTTCCTTGGTTTATGAAAAATGTAATAGAAACAAAATAGATTTTTGACATGATAGTAAAGATGATATTCTTAAAAAACTAATGGGCACAGGAGAGGTTTCCTGGAAAGTTCAGATCAAAACCAGTGAATAGGGCATACTTAGCAATGTGGGAAGTAGGCAGGTGAGTCCTTCGACGTGAATCACGGAGTATGAATAAAGACTTCAAGAACTACGTAACGAGAGATGTGATTTTTGTTAATAAGACACAGGCAGTATATTCGATACAAAGACAGGGGTTTGTGTGTCCAGTTTGTTACTGGAGACGCCCCGTTGCTGGCGAGAGCTTCCATGACCTGGAGGGGCAGGCTTTTTGCTGGACAGTGGGAGGCGTCTCTGGCGCAGGGCCAGCCGCGTGCGGTCCACTCTGCCTGTAGCCGCCGTGGGCCCCCAGCGCCTCGGTTCTGGCTGCAGTTGAGCTGGGGGTGCTGGCTGGCCTGCCCCATCCCCAGGGCACCGGGTCACTGCCCGCCATCCCACCTCAGCGGTGCCGGCCAGAGATGAGCCTGCGGCAGGGCCAGGGCTCAGCCGCCGACCCCCCCCCCGCCCCGCCGCCCCAGCACGACTGCCCTTTATGTCAGACTCCCAAGTCACTATTTTCGGCGACTCCTGTCCTCTTCTTGCCCCCCCTCACCCCGCATGGCATTGCGAACCCGTGGGCCTTGCAGAGCGCACCCTGAGCACAGGATTCCTTAGCGAGGATCCCTGTCTGGACGCTTTCTCAGGCTTGGCACCACTCACGTCTCAACGTGTGTTTGACTTGGTTCAGGCTGCGGCTTTCTCTGCTCTGTTGGATCGCGCCAACGATCCGCCCTAGTAATGAATTCCAGAACTGACTGAGGCGTGTCTGAGGTCACAGGCTACGTATTTGGGGTGCAGGGCTAGCGCGAGCCGCCTTTCACAGCGGCCTCCCCTCAACGCCGTCCTGCACTGTGCGGGCTCCAGGGCGCGGAGGGTCACACCCGTGGCTCATGGTCCCGTGGGTTCAATACCCACGACTCCCTGGCCCGCCTGCTCAACTGACAAGAAAAATCAGGTACTTGCTGGCAATTCTGTTAAATGGTTTAATATTCAGATCACAGTACAAACAGGCAACAGCGGTTTTATTAAGCTTCAGGTCAGTCGGCAAGTGTGAGGTGCCCAGCGCCCAGGGCTGGCACGGCGGGGTGGGCAGCAGCCATGGGTCCAGAGGAGGTCGGCCTGACCATGGGCTCTCCTGCAGCACGCCAAGTAACTCCGGCCATCCCTCTCCACCCTCCCCCACGTGAGCCAGCAGCCTGCCCTTTACTTCCAGGGGGAGAGCTGATCTCATTTGTCACCTGAACAAAAAGCAATGCTTAAAAGTAAAACTATTCACATGTGAAGCTTCTGGAATCGTCAGCGGCTGCTGGTGATAGACCCGGTAAATGTGGACACCAGTGCCATGGCCAGACACGGAGACCTCACAGCCTTGCTGGGCATCCGTGCGCCCAGACCGAGGAGGACCTGGAGCCCAGGATGACCCTCCAAAAGGCCTGCCGTCTTCAGCAGAAACTGGGAGGATGGCCCCTGATTATTTCTTCTGCTCTTGGTAAAAGGAGTCGATGATGTCTTTGTACTTGTCCAGAACCGTGAGCCGTTTCACCTTCATCGTCGGACCTGAAGGAGCGATTGGAAAGAGGGAGTGAGGCCTGGATGCTGAGAAGCCTGGGAAGGTGTGTGCTGAGGATCGCGAAAGACCAGGAGGCATTGCCTTCCTTATCCTGCACCCATTTCTGATCCTCCGCATATTTTCTGTTCTGTCCTTCTGGTGAATCGATGACTCACACACTCAACCCCACAGAACTACAGTTTCTGTCTCAGGCTCTCGGATCCTTCCGGGGCAGGCGAGCCACCTTGCCAGGAGCTCGCAGGCAGCCTCAGGACAAGGCTCTGGCCAACACGCGCGTGGTGAGCAGGTGACGGCCATCCGACTGACGTTCTGACTGTGACCTCACGAGACCCCAGGCCAGAACCACCCAGCTAAGCTGCCTTGGATTTCCAACCCACAGAAGTCAAGATAATAAATGCTTATTGTGTCAAGCTGCTAAATTTGCGGGTAATTTGTTACACAACAGTAGCTAATGGGTGAGCGGCCTGTGACCACGCACACGACGTGGAGCGTTATGCTTTGCTTGCCCGAGCAGCTGGGGGCAGACCGGGTGTGCCACCTTGTCTGACGCGGTCTCTGGGAGAGGTCTTTCCCAAATTCCTGTTCTTGGCCTTGGTTCTTCCCTGTAAAGCATGGCCGCAAGGGCTCTGATTCACCTTGGGGGCAGCTCGAGGCCATTTTGCGCTAACACACTTGGCTGCGTAACTGGAGACTTCCAAGTCACCTCTGGAATCTGGTCAGAGAAGACACCTGCCTTCACTCTCCTAGCACCAGCCAACCAGACATGCTCCATGCTGCAGGTAGCTCAGTGCCCTGCTTCAGCCTCATGGGCCAGAGGCCGTTCCAGAAGCCATTCCTGCCTCCCCTGGCCGCGAACACCCCACATGCTTCAGCCAAGAGTGACTTCCTCCGCCCAGCTGAGGCTGCACCAGTGGCCTTTCCTGGCTTTGTGGACCACGGTCCAGAAGGGCTTCATTCCTTTACCTGCATGTGAGCTGAGCGCCTAGAGCCGGGGGACTCCAGCCCAAACACTAACAGGGCTTTAGGGTCTGCCTCCTGGTCCCGCTGTGATTTCAGGGGAAAATGGCCCCCCAGTCAAAGCAAAGTTAAAGGTTCTACGTTCAAATTAATAGGCTCCAGCACACATTTAGTGCATGCGTCTGGCTTTCCCCGGGCGCAAGCCTGCACACCGGGCAACTGTGTCCTCCCGCCAGAAGGAGGGGGCTCTCCGTGGCTTTGTGCTTGCCTTGGGCTTCCTCCCAGGCTCGGCCATGGCCTCTGCCCTCCCACACGGCCCCCTGAATAGTGAGAACAAACAAGCAAGAAAAAACACCCTACCCAACTCTCCACCCGAAATGGAGAAGTCCCTCTGGAGAATGGCCCACTTCTGGATGTGGTAGGGCCGGGCAGCTGCGTTCCTGTTGACACTCTGGATCCCCTGCTCAATGGCCTGATACACGGCCTCATCCTTGGTGCCCACAATCTCAGACACGGTGGTGGCTTTGCTGCCCACTCTCTGGCAGAAGGCCACAGCTGGTTCAGTTAGGTTGTCCGTCGGCTCGGAGGTGTCTGGGTCCAGCACACACTGAAAAGCCAGAGGTCAGACCAGGCCCAGGCCTCACCCCACAAGACACAAGCCCTGGTCTTGGAGGCTGTGGGTCACCATAAGCTCTGTTCAGAGACGGCCTGTGGTGGAAGGGCACCTAGCAGGACCTCAGCCAATAAAACCATGGGCTAGAACAGGGACCCTTCCAGCCCCGTCCAGCAGCCTGGGCTCAGAGCATCTGAGCGGGGGAGTGAGGGCTGCAACCCTGGGGAGCCAGGCTGAGCTGGACCATAATGGGTCATCACAGCAGCATGTGAACAATTGTGTTTCCTGCCCCGTTGCAGGTAGCCGACAGGCTATCCCAGAATAAAGTCTTGAGATGTAGATGTGTCCTGGCCGAACATGGCTTCTGCTTGGGCCAGACCCACAGACCACCCACCCGCCTAGAGCCAGAACCCCTGACACACCTTCAAGGTGAGCAGCATGGACAGGAACTTCCTCTGGTCCCCGATCAGCATGGCATTGCTGACGATGGGCAGCTCCATCTTCACGGCCTCCTCGATGGGCACAGGGGGGACGTTCTCTCCACCAGCTGTGATGATTAATTCTGGGGAGGCAGGGCCAGGCCCCCGGCACAAGTTTTAATCCAGGTGAATGGGCTGGACCAGGACCCAAACCTTGGCCCCAGCCCCTGGAGGCAGGAGCGTCAGGCAGCCCTGTGGATACTTGGGGGTGGCGGGGGCAGTGCCACGCCCTCAGAAGCACCTCACACCTGCTGGGGATATACCTGCTGGGGTGGGACACCTGCTGGGGGGACGCCTGCTGGGGGACACACCTGTTGGGGGGACACACCTGCTGGGGGGACGCCTGCTGGGGGACACACCTGCTGGGGGACACACCTGCTGGGGGACACACCTGCTGGGGGGACGCCTGCTGGGGGACACACCTGCTGGGGTGGGACACCTGCTGGGGTGGGACACCTGCTGGGGGACACACCTGCTGGGGGGACAGCTGCTGGGGGACGGTGGCAGTTCCTGGAGCACAAATGCTCACTCAGGGCTCCCACTCCTTTGCTCATCCTCCCAAGACTTTGCCTGCTCAGACTTCTCATCCATCGCCCCCAGACACGCTGCCATCGTCCTGCAGTTGAACTGCCACCACCCGGCAGGCGCCCGGCACTCACCATGGGCCAGGTGCTGTGCTAAGTCCTACATGTGCAGTGATTTACTGAACACTCACCACCGGCCTATGAAGAAGCTCATTTTACAGGTGGGGACTGAGGCACAGGGAGGTTAGGTGGCTTGTCTGAGGTGGAGTAGCAGGGGGGAGCGCAGCACAGCACAGCCCCAGAGCTCCTGCTATGAGCTTCTCACCTCGCATACACCTTCCCAACACGCCCTCCCGTCTCCTCTAACACACCGCGTGTTCTTCTCAGGAAGCCCTCTCCCCTCCAGGGACGCTGGCTCTCCCTTCTCGGAGCTGCTCTCACAGCGTCCACCCCTCATCCACCGCCTCACTCACTCAGGGGTCTACTGAGCGCATCTGTGCAAGACCAGCTGGGGGCACTTAGCACTCTGGCCTCCTCCCTGGAAGGTGGTATACTGCCAAACAGATGGTTCTAAGTGGACATTTACTCAATACACCTGACTGCTTTTGCGAGCTTGTGGCCCCCCAGTTCTAGTTCAACAAAGACGAGTTGGTCCCCTTGCGTGCAGGTCCCGTGTGGACGTCGAGACAGACCCTGGCTGCAGGGAGGCTCGTGGCCCAGCTGCATGTTGCGCATGAACTGGGTCTAATGGGCAGAGGGCCCACGTGCACGGCAGGTAAGACAGGGAGGCAAAGGCGGGAGGAGTGGGGCCCCTCTAGTGCTGAGGGGCGGCCCGGGTGGGTGGCCGCCTCTGAGCGGTTGGCGCTCAGAGTTTTAGGGCACTGGTGAGCGGGGTGAAGAGTGGTTACCAAGGCGAGGGCTGGCCAGGGAGGAAGCGTCCAGACTGGGGTCTGTTGGGGGCAGCAGGGGTGGAGCGGGGGGGGGGGAACCACGCCCAGGCAGAGCCCAGTGGCTGTCACCAGCCCTGCCTTCCTCCTTCTGGAGCTTTCCCTGGCCCCCTCCCCCTTTCCCCCTCCTACCAGCGTCTTTCACGAGTTAGTACACATAGAAGCCCTCAGCAAACTGGGCACAGAAAGGAGCACCTGCCAAAAATCCACAGGAAACACACTCAGAGATCAAATGTCGAAAGCGTTCCCCAGAGATCAGGAACCGTACACAGAAGACCACTGTCCCCATGTCTGTTCACCGCTGCTCTGAAGGTCCTACCAGTGCAAGAGGCAAGAGAAACACCCAGAAGGAATGGAAAGAAGGAACGAAACTGTCGGCATCTGGAGACGGTCGGGTGGTGTGCCCAGAAAGTTGGAGAGAAACCTACAAACCCCAGCTCCTAGCGAGTTCTCCGGGTCACGTGATGCATCAGGAGCTGCCGGCGAGTCTTCCGGGCTATGACATCTGTCTTTGCTCCGGGCCGTTTGACTGCGTGGAGGTTTGTTTGTCTTTAATGTAGTAGAATTTCACTGAGTCCCTCTTCTTGGCTCCTGTAGATCTTCCACATTCCAACAGGATAACGGATTTCTGTTTCCCTCCAGCAGCGGTGAGGGCCCCCTTCTTTATGGGGAACGTTCTGTCTTCTCTGTTGCTATATCGTGCACGGACTAGTTTCTTCTGCGATGCCTTCTAAACGCGCTGGCACAAGCCACAGATTCCCTATGGCGACGTCCTGACCTGTTTGCGAGCCGCTGCTGTGCATGATGCCACCCCGCTCTGTCTGACAGGCCGGGTGCGACCGCGGGCACCGAGCCTGCCCCTTCTTCCGAGGCGTGGGGTCTGGCTTTCCCAGGACTGGGGCCGGCTTCTGGCTTGGGAGACTCCCGTTTCATTAAGGAAGGAGCTACTGTTTCTGTTTTTATCCATGAATGAGGATATTAAATTTTTTTAAATGCTTTTGCAATAGATGTGGAGATGATCATAAATATTTTAAAGCTCTATGAATGGGATTAATTACATTATATATCCCTAGGTTTCCAGAACAATCCCACTTAGTCATGATGGGTTACGTTTTAATGTGCTGGCATAGACTAGTATTGCTAGTCTTTTTGCTAGTATTTTTTTTCTAGTATTTCTTTTAGGATTTTAGTATATGTATTCATAAAAGTCATTGGTCTACGGTTTTCTGTTTTCTTTTTTTAAAAAGATTTTATTTATTTATTTGACAGAGACACAGCGAGAGCAGGAACACAAGCAGGGGGGGTGGGAGAGGGAGAAGCAGGCTTCCTGCCGAGCAGGAGCCCGATGTGGGGCTCGATCCCAGGACCCTGGGATCATGACCTGAGCCGAAGGCAGACGCCTAATGACTGAGCGACCCAGGCGCCCCTGGTCTACGGTTTTCTTTTTAAATACAATCTTTTTCAGATTTCGTATCAATGTTATACTCACCTCACTAAAAATTTGGAAGTTTTCCTTGTTTTCTATGCTCAAAATCAGGTGAGGTATCATTGGAATTTCTCAGTGAATCTCCTGGTCCAGCGTGTTGTGCGTATGTGGTGGGGGGACGGTCATAATGTGTTCCCCGGGAATCAGTCTCTTTAAGTTTACCGTCTTTTCCGAAGTAGTTACATTTGCCCAGAAAATGACCTAACTCACGTTTCTCAGTATATCTGCACAGCGTTGGGCAATTTATACCATGTTTATGGATTGGATGACTCAATATTGTAAAGAGACACATTCTCACCAAATTAATCCTTAGATCCAATGAAATCAAAATCAAAATCTTGGCAAGTTTTTGGAGGCCACTGGCATGATTCTAGCCAAGGTTGTCTTAAAGATGAAGACCAAGGCCGTAGGCCCTCACATAGCCATATTACAGGCCGTATCACAGAGATACTCGGGTACAAGGACAGGCAGTTGAGCCGCCTCCCACACAGTCCCCTGGTGGGTAATGCCCTGCGGGGAGGTGGTCTCCTTGGCAGTGAGGCTGGGTCGGTGGACACTTATCTGGAGAAAAGGCACCTGGGCCTGGACCTCTAACCATACTATTTTAAAGATTTTATTTACTTA